TAGATAGATAGATAGATAGATAGATAGATAGATAGATAGATAGATAGATAGATAGATAGATAGATAGATAGATAGATAGAGTCTGAAATGCAAAAGTTTTTAAAATGTAACTATGTAATTTTACATATTAGAAACATGTGTTGCTTATGAATGCATCTCTTACAGATAAAAACAGTAGTGTTTCACTGTCAATTGTTAAAAGTATTGAAATGAAGTTTATATTTTCCGTTTTATATTTATTTATATAGGTACACAAACCACAAAAGAACTAAGTTCTGAAAAGAAAAACTCCTGTCAGCAAACAGAGTAAGTAGAGAGATTATTCAAGCTTTTTTCCTCCTTTAGAACTAGTATCTTTAAAATTGGATACTAGGCATTTTACATTGAATATGGGGTATTGTTTTTGTAAAGATGATCAGAATTTTTCAATCCATAAAATAATCAAAGTTTAAGTTTTATATATATATATATGACTTAATTCAAGATTCCTTGGTTAGTCATCCCAAATTATCAAAACTCCAGAATATTCTTCTTTGCAGAACATTAAGGAATAGCATTCCATAACTTTATAAACCACATATAAAATCCTCTTGAAGTTATATAATATATAACAGTGATTATAACAAGTTCCACTGACACAGGGTGTTCTGTGCACAGGCAGAGATCTACCTCTGGGAAAGCATTTTTGAGCATACAAAATATCACTCTGTCTTTGAACAATTCAGAGCCTGACGTATGATTACCAGAAACCTTCCAGGCTCTTGTTATAGCCTTCAATTCCCCCCCCCCCCTGCTATCAATGGTCAGTTATGCATCACCAGTGAAGTTATTATTGGAATTTTTCACCACTCTGTTTACAAGCTACCTCTGTTTACAAGCTACCTCAGTTACCTTGGCCATGCTATGTCAGGAATATATATATACATACACAGGTTCCTCTTCATTAAAAGCCGAGTGGTAACCAAGAGTTCAGAGACACTATTTCATAGGGCAAATGATTGCTTGCATAAATGCAAAGATCATTTGCAAATCTTCATATGTGCAGTAATGAATGAATAGATAGTACAAAGGTTCTTGAGTACCACATCATAGTGACATTTCAACAGAAATGTCCTGGGCAATTCTATATATATAGAATTGACCTGGGCAATTCTATATATATAATGTTTTACCTTCTTCCTCTTGACAGTTGTATCACACTGTAAAATTATCACCTTGATCATTCTTTTCTCTTTTGTTTTTAGTTGTGGAACAGCAGTGTTAGATAAGGTATGGAAAATGTGAGTAAATAAATAAGTAACACTTCAATGGGAAGGTAACAGAGCTCCTGTCGTCATGCTGGCCACATGACCATTGAAATGTTTTCAGACAGGTGGCTCAACAGCCCTGAAATGGAGATGAGCACCATCCCTATGGTTGACAATAACTAGTGGAGTAAAATCCGGAGGGAATTCTTTTAAGGAAAACAGGGAGTAATGAGATTCCTCTTTCTTTAAGAAATAAAGAAATGCAAATGTGGGGCAAATGGTATTTAGTATTTTATATTTTTTTCTTATTTCTGTATGCATTACATGCCTAGCTGTCCTGTACATAGTGGCCTTAATCAGGCAAGTTGTTATAGTTGTGATGTTTTAGATAAGAAAATCATGTCTGAATTAGTAAAGTTTCACCAAATTTTCAATAATCAGATTTTGATCATGAAGTTGCTGGGTAGCAGAAAGGTGTGTGTGTACCAGAACACTGTTATTTCTGTACAACTCTATATGTAACTGTGTATCCATTTCTTTTCTAACTAAATATATTTTTACAGTAACTAAATAATGAATTATTACTAATAACAGTAAAAACTGCCCATCTTCAAGTATACTAGAAGTTTTGTGAATTTTGTGATTCAAAGGCTGACAAATAGTACAGGTTGTATTTCTTTGACAAGTCAATTGGATTATAAATACATTTATTTGTATTTCAGGAAATTACTCAACTTTCCAACTACCTCAATGTGAGTAATCAATATTAATTTCAGATCATTTGAGGAAAGATCCCTTCATAAGATATACTTTTTAGATTTTTTTTATATACTCAAAGTCTTACTTTTTAGGCAACAATTTAAAATCTTCCAGACAATTTTTAAAAAAACACTAATAATCAGGTAGCAAGTTTTATATATTGTTTACATTCATTTAAAAATAAGTACTCTTTTTTTTTCACTACATAACAGACAAGCCAGTTGTAAAGCTAAGTAATTATCTAAGAACAAAGGGACATAAACTAAATTTTTAGAGTAACTTTTGGAGTATACTTTTGTACCTATACAAAATTGTTTCCTTGAACAGACTGTTGTGGGTCTGTCTCTCAGTTGTATCTATCCATCCTGTGAGATCCAGCAGTAGAGTTGCTCCAGGTTCCACTTGTTAAAGAGTGCCATTTGGTAGATGCCCCAAAGAGAGTCTTTTCTCTTTGGCATCTGCCCTGTGGAACATTATCTCCCAAAGATTAGAAATGCTGCCATAATGGTTTTCCATAACAAAACTGGATTTTCTTACCAGGTTCTGTGGCTACACCCATATCTTGATTAAGTTGACTGCCACTTTTAATCTCAGTTCCTGTATTTATTTACTGTTTTTCCTATGATATTTTAATCTTGCTTTTATTCAGAGAAATCTGCCCAGAGTATATGTTTAAAGTGACATAAATATGGACAATGGCTTGTGTTCAGAAGAAGTTACCAGTTAGATGTATTGATTAAATCTTCATACAGGAATGTCAATCTGCACTAACAAGAATGGAAACTGTAAAACATATTAATTGGCATTAATTTCCAGTACTAATGTGCAGAAACTGAAAGACTGAAAAGGATACAAGACATGATTTTAGAGTTTTAAAAGTATAATTTAAGGTTTAAAAGGATATGATATATGATTGGCAAATGCAAATTGGTATGAGACTTAGGTAAGTTGGACTTTATAGAGTCAGCTCAGACAAACTGAGTAGATGAAAAGGCCTGCATTCTCTGTGAAATAGTCAAGTTGCTATAGTCAAATTTCTCCATGCTTCCTTTGAAAAAGAAGTTTAATGGTAGAGTAATAGAATCCACACTAATCGTAGAACTAGAACAATGAATTCAGAGCATGCCTGGGATATCATTTGAACATGTTGTGACTTTTATTTCTTCCTTTTAGGAGGCACTACATCGAGAACTAGTATTGAAGCAGAAAATGGTGATCTTACAAGAGCTTCTAGCCATGTTGTTAGAAGCAGCAGAAAAATCTTGGAAGGTATCAAATGGGCATACTAAGATCATTACTATCATACTTATGTGTTACCCTATATCAGAGGTGGTATTCAGCAGATTCTGACCAATTCTGGAGAACCAGTAGCGGAAATTTTGAATAGTTCAGAAAAGTAGTAAATACCACCTCTGACTGGCCCTGTCCCATCTATTCTCGGCTTTCCGAGTCCCAGCTGATCAGGAGGAAATGGGTTTTTTTCAGTAACCTTCCCCTGAAGTGGGGAAGGAATGGAGATTTTATATTATCCTTCCCTTGCCATACTCACCAAGCCACGCCCACAGAACCAGTAGTAAAAAAAATTGAATCCACCACTGCTCTGTGTGTGTGTGTGTGTGTGTGTGTGTGTGTGTGTATCTATATCTATATCTATATCTATATCTATATCTATATCTATATCTATATCT